GATGATGACAGGCACATCAACATCGTACGTCCGCTCACCTGCAGACATCATACATGACGTGTGGAGCTGCGTAGACGTTCGACCGTATCCTGCGCGAGTGCAGAACAGATATCGGCAGGGCCACACGTCCACTGTGATGGTCCCTGGCTCTTCCATCACCAATGTGGAATGCCTGGTCTGCATATCGTCAATGTATAGCAGATCACGCATCTAGTTCTTCGTCTTCTTGCTAACGTACAATTTGGTTGCACGCACGCAATGCGCTACGCCAAACGAGTTCTCGCCAATCGTTGGACCTTTTCAGCAAAAGTCTCCACCTTCTAACCATACCCACTACAGCGGCATTTGTCACGTTGCGGGCATCGTAGCCGTTCTGGCAGACCGAAGCGTGCCGGCAGTCTTCAATCCCACAGCCTTGTTCTTCACGTCCACGTAAGCGTACCGGAAGTATTCCATCCCACAATCTTGTCCTTGACCGTGATCTTGCCAGCAGTGAAGTGCCTAACCTGAGTGAAGGATGGAGCTGCAGGAAGACAACGGCTCCGTCTGCGACTCAGGGTAGATGCCACTGTTGACGCGGGTTTTAGCTTGTGCAGCGTCTGCTTTCTATCAGGTGGTGATCCATCAAATGACGGTTGTCCTTCGGCACAATCGGCTGGGCTTGTAGGTGTTTTCGCGTTCGTGCTACACGTTTACCGGGTACCGCTATTCCACCAGACTGAGTGTCAAATAGATGGGGTCGTAGACCTACTGGAAGACCGTAGTCATGACCTCGTCCTACTTCTTTTGCTCTTCGACCACGATGCCATGGAGTGTGATGACGACGCGTGCTCCGTCCTTGCACATCTCTTCTCAACTCGCATCACGGTTTTCCATGTGAGCGTGGGTATCACGTTGTCAGTGCTGACAGTCAATGTATCCGGGCCATGATACAGTTTTGGCAAGTTCGATATTTCAGCCATGACAACACAATCAGCGAGTACGGTGGTTTGTAGGATGCGCTTCGTTTGTTTGTAACAGTGCAGTATGCTCGATCAACTTCGATTGGTGTCGTCAAGTCTCCGTCGTTTGTCTCTGCAAAAGGGAAGGGGCCGGCTACGAACGAAATGTGTTCCAAGCGTTCACAAATGTCGCTGATTGGTTTCCGAACAAGATGGTGTATGTGACAGTGTCCGAGACACCCGCGTGTATGCCCTGAAATAGTACAGTGAGCAGGCTCGAAAGGATGAGTGGCCGCGCCGGTCCGGTGACCACGCTGGTCACGTGACGCAGGTCATTAGCGGACGCGATAATCAGGTCGATTAGTGGCAACAGAAGGGATGAAATGACGAAAAGCGGTGCCACCACAAATCATCACATAGGATCATCAAGCCAACCTTGACGTGCCAACTCGATCCATTCGCACCATGCGCCACAACCGTGCTGCAGCTTCTACTACAAAGAAGAGCACTAGAAGCTGGCACGATTCGCTGCTTTTCAAACGGGAGTCAAGGAGGGGGTACAGAAAAGTAGAAAAGGTTCTGAAAACGAGATACATAACGAATGGTGATCCTTTCTCTAGCCTGCGTGTTCCACCTCTGACTCAAATTTTTCTCAGAGTGATACTTCGTACCGTGAGTCACACTACGCGTATAGTTCAAATCCACGTCGTTCGTCGCAATCTTGGTCGCACAGATCTTGGTCCAATCGATCTCGGTGGGGAGCCTCGTTGTCGTTTGAAGTAGAAGCTGGAAAACCCATGAGTCTACTACCGTGGAGATCCGACAATCTCAGGAACGATTATTGTCTACGAAGTGTTCCGACTATCGGAAGTGCATCAAGAACTTCATTAGGACGGTTCTCCGAATGTGCCAGTAGGTCTCCGACTAACGGAAGACTGTCAAGAAGACTTTCGTTAGGACGGGTATCCGAATGTGCCAGTAGGTCTCCGACTAACGGAAGACTATCAAGAAGACTTTCGTTAGGACGGGTATCCGAATGTGCCAGTAGGTCTCCGACTAACGGAACGCTGTCAAGAAGACTTTCGTTAGGACGTCCTTCCGAATGTGCCAGTAGGTCTCCGACTAACGGAAGACTATCAAGAAGACTTTCGTTAGGACGTCCCTCTGATTGTGCTAGGAGCGCATCGAGGATTGGAAGGTCCTCGATAAGTTCGAGAACTTCGTTGGGATGCCCCTCTGAATGGGTCGAAACTTGTCCGTACGTTGTTGCAGTTGCGACAGCGGCGAGTACGACGGAAATGAGGAGTTTCATCTTTGTCGCGAAAGTGTGGAGGTGTGTAGGCTGGGAAGGGTTTGGCAAGTTGCAGAATGATAAACAAGTACACATGCTCTTGGATCGGGCGTCCAGTTGAATTGGTCGAATCAGAAGCAGTTTCGTTTGTTACAGAGGATAAACTTCTACCACACTTTGGACGTCATCCTTGCTAAAGAAAACACATGGCTGTTGACGCTGATCAAGTCATTGAAACGACCGGCAGGAGAAGGCGACTCTCGCTGATCGATTCGTTGCAAATCGAAATGTCGCAGCTCTTGAACCTTGAGATCGACCGTGATGGATCAAAGAAGAACACTGACACGGTCCTCTCCATTCGGAAAGAGTCGTCTGCTCGACTCTTGCATCGTCTGGCATCTTCTGAGAGATTATACAGCAGATCGATCCAAAGTGTAAGAGTTCAGACGTCCGATCGGATCCATAGCTTACTGAAGTGGCCCGCAAAAGAGCGTTCAAACGCGACGCAGCATGTTGACGATACACGACACTATGAACACATACGAACGGTCGTTGGAAATGTCTTGCTTCTTGAACCTGCACAGATTCCTCATCATCTTCCACCGTGGCAAGGTCGACCACCCAAAAGGGACGTGCATCAGTAGGGTGTTCATAATCGGCCAACATGATTGTAAGCGCTCATCTTTTCGTTTCGTGGTGATGTTCATCTGGACAGTCATCATACGAGCGAAACCGCTGTATACTGATGACGGTGTCACAGCACGTAGCTTGTACGGATGAGAAGCGAGGGGAGGAGGTTGGAACTGGTGAACTGTAAGAGTATTGAGTCAATGATCTCCTGGACGATTGCAGATACCACAGATGCTCGGGATCTAGCAGGTCAGCACTTGTACGGAGATACACCTGCGACAGCTAGAAGAAAGATAGACCGATATAATGCAGACTACCAGACGAGAGAAAACGAGTCTGGTGGGATCAACGGACGGACGATGCTACGAACGAAATACGTGCAAGCCGGCACTACTCGCGGAGAACCGCCACTTCACTACCGCTACAGACTACGCATATTGACCATGGTACGCGCATAAAGCACGCACAGTGCTTGAAATGTTCACAGCAAAGTTGACAAAGCTGTGCCTGCCGTTTCTATCGTGGATCGTCCCTGTCGATGTGATGTATTGCTACTTAACGTAGAGATGATAGTCAAGGAACCAGAGCAATACGGAGAAATGCTCAAACGATGAGCCAGTGCACGCAAAGGTATCGCAAGACTGCTGCAGTAAGTTTGGCTTCGGCGTGAACGGGCTGGCAGTGCGTCTTCTGTTCTAACATGATTTTCGGCCGATCCGGCGTGGGGTGGTCACAGGTCTGTTTCTTAGAATATCACGTTCAACATCACGCAGTCGTCTTTCGTGTTCATTCTTCAATTTACCTCCCCACCCACCATACTGTATGTACCGCTCGCCTTTTTCTGAAGGTGCCTCCGAAGACAATGACAAAACCTGAACAAGCGCCAATACAAGTCGCTAGTATTCGTGACGCGGAGCAGCTTGTCGGAACCGAATCCACACCTTCGATTGATGTCATGAGAGTGTGGTGGCTCTGGCATGACTCGCCAGATTTGTCACCAATCACCGACGCGCCATCTTTGCTTCCACATCACCAGCAGTGTTCAAACGGCGAAACGAAGCTATAGGCAAGATGCGTGTTGCGAGAAGGAAGCGTTAGGTGAACAATAAGATTCTGTTGTATTTCCTTACTAGTTCTCTCTTCTCTGCCAAGATCGCCAAAGCCCTCTGCTCCATTCATCCATCTCACACGCATTCTGGCTCTACTCGGGTCACTATCCTGCTTGTCACTCTGCGTCCACCATTTACGCACAGCGAGTTTGTGACATCAGGTTTCCAAATAAACCCCAAGTCACCGGCCGAACACTCCGATCACCGTTACGTACCCTTGCACCCATTTCCAACATTCCAACACTCCTCCTCGGTCGTTACTTGCCCTCAAACCAGTTTTATTTCTTGAGCTTGCAAATGTCCTTGTCCCTGTGCTCCTCCATCCCTGAGCTCCTTGATCGCCCTTAATCGTCCTTGACCTTTTCTTAACCAATGCGCACGAGTGCGCGCAGTGTCGAGAGCTTCGTCGCGTCCAACGCCTTCGTGAGGAGGTCTGCGAGCATCTGCTCCGATCTGACGTAGCTCGCCGTGATGATGCCGCGACGCGAGTAGTCGCAAAGGAACTTAAGACGCACATCCACATGTTTTGCCTTCAGCGACGATGCCTCTCCCGCGATCTGCGCGATCGCCGCTTGGTTGTCCACCCACAACTGCATCGGAAGCGTGGGCTCCACGCCCACTTCGCACAACATCTCGCGCAGGCCGAGCAGCTCGCGCGCGACTTCACTCGCCGCAACAAATTCCGCCTCTATCGTCGACAGGGAGACGCCTCCCTGCTTCCGCGCACCCCAGCTGACGGCCATCCCGTTCAGCATCACGATGCCGCCCGTCATCGACTTCCGGTCCGTCTTGTCGGCGGCAAAGTCGGCGTCGCTAAACGCTTCCTAGTCGCATCGCCGCACCTAAATTGTCTTCTGGGATCATCATGATCTTAAGCGCCACCGTACCCTTGAGGTATCGCGCGATGCGTTTAGCTAACTTCCAGTCTGCTAGTCGAGGCGCATGGGCTCGTCTCGTGACCTTGTGCACCGCAAACGCTATGTCAGGGCGCGTGCAACGCGCCACCCAGAGCGGCGAGCCGACCAACGACTAAAACTGGCGCACAGTCGGTCCTATTTTCGCGCTTGGCGTCCCAAGAAGCTCCTCGTCGCCCTCCTTCAACTCGTAGCAGCTGTCGTCGATCGGCGTCCACGTCGAGTTGGCGTCAGCGAGTCCGTTGTCGCGTAAGAGGTCTCTTATGGCCTCCTCCTGATCGAGCGTGTACCCATTCTGACCGTTGTGCGTCACGCGCATTCCCAGGAACTTGCTGACACGCCCCAGGTCCTTGATCGACAACGACGCGAGGCTTGCAAAGAACCGCTCGACCGCCGCCGCGCTCGTCCCTGTCGCTAGAAGATCGTCGACATACACGCCGACCACGACAAGGTCGTCGCCGTCGCGCTTCCAGTAAAAACACATGTCGCTCTCACACCGCGTGAAACCGGCAGTAGAGAACTTCGAGTGCAGCAGCTGGCTCTACAGCCGGCCTGCCTGCTTGAGCCCGTAGAGGCTCTTCCGCAGCTCCAGCACCAGCTCGCTCGTGTTCGAAACGCCTTGCGCTCGTAGCGTCTCCTTCGAGACTGGCATGCCGCGCGGCATCTGTAGATAGATGCGCAGGTGCGGCTCCTTGTCCGCTTTAACGTAGGCGTTGGGGATGTCACCGTGCTTGGCAGGCATTCCCACGTAGCAGCAAGAGCCAGGATCAATTTGACCGTCTATAGGTCCATCACGGCAGCGAAGGTGAGCGTGTAGTCGATGCCAAGCACCTGTTCGTTGCCACACGCCACCAGTCGCGCTTTCAGCCGCTCGAGGTCGCCCTGTGCATCTGTCTTGGTCTTATAGACCCATTTTGTGTGCAGCGCATGCTGTCCTGCCGTTCGCCTTGTGATAGTCCATACGTCGTTGGCCTCGAGCGCGGCGATCTCCTCTTGCATCGCCTTCTTCCACCCTTCGCGCTTGCCGCTGCGCATCGCCTGTCCGTAGTTAAGCGGATCATGCTCGAAAGCAGCATTTACGACTTCTCCGCTCGCGGCTGTCTCCTCCTGAGCGAGCAGCCGCTTCTGCGCCGTTTCAACGCCCCGCGTGTTCCATGGGCCTTTCGCGTCCATCTCTTTCTGCTTTTACGCGTCTCCATGTTGCTCTCTGCGCGACCATCGTTCGCCACTGCTGCTGCTGGCGCGTCCGTCTCCTCCTGGCCTCCGGCTCGATCGCCGACGTCCATCGCGCGCTGGAGTTGCGCGTTTTGCGCCTCCGTCAGTGTCTCGATATTCTTGATGTGCTGCGTGACGACCGCTTTATTGTCACGCGGCAGCAGCGCCTTGTAGCCCTTGGTTTCCTCGCTGACGCCGACAATGATGGCGCGCCCCGAGCGCTGCAGCAGCAAGTTCTTGCGCGGGTCTCTATACACGCTGCACTGGGAGCCAAAAACAACAATTCCACGCAGATCCGGCGTCTTGCCCGTCAGCACCTCGAGTGGTGACGCTCTCTTTGCGTTTGCTCGCGTAGGGCTCCGGTTGAGGATGTGAACGGCGTATAGTACCGCGTCTCCCCAGAACATCAGGGGCAGCGCGCGGGGCAAACATCATGCTGCGCGCAAGGTTCAGCACTGTCCGGTGCATTCTTTCCGCCTTGCCGTTTGAGGCCTGATTTCGCGCCTCCGACACTTGGCGCGCGACGCCCGTGCGCTCGCAGAACAGGTCCACGTTGGCGTATTCTCTGCCGCCGTCCGTGCGGAGCACGCGGACCTTGAACCCGAAAATCTTCTCGAAGTGGACGAGGAACGCCTCGAACTGCCTCGCCGCAGCGTCCTTCGTGCGCGCGAGGAAGACTCGGCAGTAGTTGCTCTTGTGACCAACGAAGTTCACAAGGTAACGATTGCCGAGTCGGTCCCGCGGCGTCATTGGACCCTTCAGGTCCGAACAGATGACGCCGCCGATGCGATCGATGGGCGAGTTCTTGCCGCTGTCTTGTTGGGACTGCGCGTTGCGCTTCTGCTTGCCTTCGAGGCACGACACGCACGCCATACGCTTGTTGTTGCTGAGTCGAATGCCCGATGCCGGATCGCGCGCCATGCGTTCGATCGTGTCGAACGCAACGTGGCCGAGTCTCTGGTGCCAGTGCAACAGCGAGGCTTCGTGCGGCTCATCGGCGTTGGTTTCCGTTGCATGCGCTTCGAGCGCCGCCATGATCGCGTCTCCGTTGCACCTTCCTTGTCGCGCGTGGCCTTCGTCACGACATACAGCACGTTGCTGTCGATTGTGACATCGAACGCGACCGCACCATCTCTGCACCGAGCGAGCGAGCGCCTTTCGCCGGAGTGCACTAGGGCAAATCCTTTGTTGGCGAGCTTGCCGTACGACACAATGTTCTTTGCCAGTCGCGGCGCCAAGTACACATCCGTGAGCGTCACTACCGCTTCAGCGCCGCGCGCAAGAACCTCGAGGCGCACGCTGCCGACACGCGTCAGGTGAAGCGACTCGCCGTCTGCCATTGCAATCTCGTGGCTGCAAGCCGTCGACTTGAGCAGCAGCGACTCGTCGTTGACAAGATGCCGGCTCGCGCCGCTATCGAGGATCCAGTCTCCTCGGTCGACGCCCGTGGCATCGGTCGCCGCAAGTACGAGGCCGCTCGTGCCGTCCGTGGCTCTTACTCCGTCGCTCGTCGTAAGCACGAAGCCGCATGAGTCGTCTATGGTTCGCGCCCCATCACTTACATTGGTCGCTGCGGCGTCCTTGCCGCGCGAGCCCTTCTTCCTCCTGTTGCGCTTCTTCGTGGTCGCTCTGCGCTTCTCGGTCAGTGCAAGTATCATGCTGGCGCCTCCGCCCTCCGCGGGTGTCTCGTCTTCGTGCACGACTCGCGCGCGACAGTTGGCTGCGATGTGGCCTGGTCGCCCCCATCGGTAGCACGTGATCGCGCCCTTGGGTTTGCCTTCCACGTGCGCGGCGACGACCTCACGACCCACCGCGCTGCTGCCGTGCTCAATGGACTGCGCGAAGTGCGCCAGCTCCTCAGCATGGCGCAGGTAGTCGAGTCGAGTGGTCTCATACTTGGAGCGCATCACGTTCACCAGCTCCGGCGAAGCGTGGTGGACGATGTTATCAAGAACAAGCGAGTCGGAACCACCGCGTGCCTCGCTGACTGGCGACCATGTACAGGAAGTGCTCGGCCCAGGTGCGTCGTGCGTCCTTCTTTGCCATGATTAACTTCATCGCCTGGCTTGCAGTGATTGACGTCTTGAACGTGCGAAGGAGCTGCTCCATGATGTACTCCAGTGTGGGTGATTGCGTCCCCCAGGTATCGACCTGCTTGTGATAGTACCTCTTAGCCGTGCTGGCGAGGAAAGTGCCCAAGCAGGTCGACCTTGACGTCTTCGGTCCATCCGAAACCACACGACGCTTCCGCGAGGGCTCACCGCGCGCAGAAACGTACGCCCCCGGTCAAAGAATCCGCTCCCGAGTCCGCGGTACAGCTCCGTACCATCGAACTTGCGTATGTTCAACTTCCGCTGGCTAGCGGACGGCATCCGTTAGCCGTTGAGGCCCGGTCGCACATAGGCTTGTGGCGGAGCGAATTGTTGCGGCGGAGGTAGCGCTGCATGCTCCTGCGGAGGTGGCGCAGACGCTGGTGCGCGCTGCTGCAGCTGCGGTGCTGCTCGCGCGCGAGGTGGCCTGAGCGATGCGAATCGCGACGCGCCAAGATCAGTCGCGCGCTGGTATCCACGTGACACCGGTGCCTTCTCCTCCGCTTCTCCGATCGCGTCTATCGTCATCGGTCGGTCACGCATGTTGGCGCCGAGTTTCGAGGCGAACAGTCCGCTCTCCACGGCCCCGAGCATGCGCTCCTCCTCGTCTCGCACTCTCTGCGACGACTCGAGGCTCGCCAGTCGATCGGTGAGTGCGGCGAGCGCGGCGAGGATCTTATCGTCTCGCTTCCCGCTCTCGCAAGCGGGTCCATCGTTGACGACTTGCGGGTGCGGTAGGCGCACGCGCTGGCGAGCCGCGCCCAGGCGTGGCTCGCGGGACACCCCTGGTGTCTTCGTAGTCGGTTCGGTGGTTGCGGCCATTGGGCTCATAACCCTATAGGCAAGATGCGTGTTGCGAGAAGGAAGCGTTAGGTGAACAATAAGATTCTGTTGTATTTCCTTACTAGTTCTCTATTCTCTGCCATGATCGCCAAAGCCCTCTGCTCCATTCATCCATCTCACACGCATTCTGGCTCTACTCGGGTCACTATCCTGCTTGTCACTCTGCGTCCACCATTTACGCACAGCGAGTTTGTGACATCAGGTTTTCAAATAAACCCCCAAGTCACCGGCCGAACACTCCGATCACCGTTACGTACCCTTGCACCCATTTCCAACATTCCAACACTCCTCCTCGGTCGTTACTTGCCCTCAAACCAGTTTTATTTCTTGAGCTTGCAAATGTCCTTGTCCCTGTGCTCCTCCATCCCTGAGCTCCTTGATCGCCCTTAATCGTCCTTGACCTTTTCTTAACCAATGCGCACGAGTGCGCGCAGTGTCAGGCTTCGTCGCGTCCAACGCCTTCGTGAGGAGGTCTGCGAGTATCTGCTCCGATCTGACGTAGCTCGCCGTGATGATGCCGCGACGCGAGTAGTCGCAAAGGAACTTAAGACGCACATCCACATGTTTTGCCTTCAGCGACGATGCTCTCTCCCGCGATCTGCGCGATCGCCGCTTGGTTGTCCACCCACAACTGCATCGGAAGCGTGGGCTCCACGCCCACTTCGCACAACATCTCGCGCAGGCCGAGCAGCTCGCGCGCGACTTCACTCGCCGCAACAAATTCCGCCTCTATCGTCGACAGGGGAGACGCCTCCCTGCTTCCGCGCACCCCAGCTGACGGCCATCCCGTTCAGCATCACGATGCCGCCCGTCATCGACTTCCCGGTCCGTCTTGTCGGCGGCAAAGTCGGCGTCGCTAAACGCTTCTAGTCGCATCGCCGCACCTAAATTGTCTTCTGGGATCATCATGATCTTAAGCGCCACCGTACCCTTGAGGTATCGCGCGATGCGTTTAGCTAACTTCCAGTCTGCTAGTCGAGGCGCATGGGCTCGTCTCGTGACCTTGTGCACCGCAAACGCACTGATGTCAGGGCGCGTGCAACGCGCCACCCAGAGCGGCGAGAGCCGACCAACGACTAAAACTGGCGCACAGTCGGTCCTATTTTCGCGCTTGGCGTCCCAAGAAGCTCCTCGTCGCCCTCCTTCAACTCGTAGCAGCTGTCGTCGATCGGCGTCCACGTCGAGTTGGCGTCAGCGAGTCCGTTGTCGCGTAAGAGGGTCTCTTATGGCCTCCTCCTGATCGAGCGTGTACCCATTCTGACCGTTGTGCGTCACGCGCATTCCCAGGAACATGCTGACACGCCCCAGGTCCTTGATCGACAACGACGCGAGGCTTGCAAAGAACCGCTCGACCGCCGCCGCGCTCGTCCCTGTCGCTAGAAGATCGTCGACATACACGCCGACCACGACAAGGTCGTCGCCGTCGCGCTTCCAGTAAAAACACATGTGCGCTCTCACCGCGTGAAACCGGCAGTAGAGAACTTCGAGTGCAGCAGCTGGCTCTACAGCCGGCCTGCCTGCTTGAGCCCGTAGAGGCTCTTCCGCAGCTCCAGCACCAGCTCGCTCGTGTTCGAAACGCCTTGCGCTCGTAGCGTCTCCTTCGAGACTGGCATGCCGCGCGGCATCTGTAGATAGATGCGCAGGTGCGGCTCCTTGTCCGCTTTAACGTAGGCGTTGGGGATGTCACCGTGCTTGGCAGGCATTCCCCACGTAGCAGCAAGAGCCAGGATCAATTTGACCGTCTATAGGTCCATCACGGCAGCGAAGGTGAGCGTGTAGTCGATGCCAAGCACCTGTTCGTTGCCACACGCCACCAGTCGCGCTTTCAGCCGCTCGAGGTCGCCCTGTGCATCTGTCTTGGTCTTATAGACCCATTTTGTGTGCAGCGCATGCTGTCCTGCCGTTCGCCTTGTGATAGTCCATACGTCGTTGGCCTCCGAGCGCGGCGATCTCCTCTTGCATCGCCTTCTTCCACCCTTCGCGCTTGCCGCTGCGCATCGCCTGTCCGTAGTTAAGCGGATCATGCTCGAAAGCAGCATTTACGACTTCTCCGCTCGCGGCTGTCTCCTCCTGACGAGCAGCCGCTTCTGCGCGTTTCAACGCCCCGCGTGTTCCATGGGCCTTTCGCGTCCATCTCTTTCTGCTTTTACGCGTCTCCATGTTGCCCTCTGCGCGACCATCGTTCGCCACTGCTGCTGCTGGCGCGTCCGTCTCCTCCTGGCCTCCGGCTCGATCGCCGACGTCCATCGCGCGCTGGAGTTGCGCGTTTTGCGCCTCCGTCAGTGTCTCGATATTCTTGATGTGCTGCGTGACGACCGCTTTATTGTCACGCGGCAGCAGCACCTTGTAGCCCTTGGTTTCCTCGCTGACGCCGACAATGATGGCGCGCCCCGAGCGCTGCAGCAGCGAAGTTCTTGCGCGGGTCTCTATACACGCTGCACTGGGAGCCAAAAACAACAATTCCACGCAGATCCGGCGTCTTGCCCGTCAGCACCTCGAGTGGTGACGCTCTCTTTGCGTTTGCTCGCGTAGGGCTCCGGTTGAGGATGTGAACGGCGTATAGTACCGCGTCTCCCCAGAACATCAGGGGCAGCGCGCAGGCAAACATCATGCTGCGCGCAAGGTTCAGCACTGTCCGGTGCATTCTTTCCGCCTTGCCGTTTGAGGCCTGATTTCGCGCCTCCGACACTTGGCGCGCGACGCCCGTGCGCTCGCAGAACAGGTCCACGTTGGCGTATTCTCTGCCGCCGTCCGTGCGGAGCACACGCGGACCTTGAACCCGAAAATCTTCTCGAAGTGGACGAGGAACGCCTCGAACTGCCTCGCCGCAGCGTCCTTCGTGCGCGCGAGGAAGACTCGGCAGTAGTTGCTCTTGTGACCAACGAAGTTCACAAGGTAACGATTGCCGAGTCGGTCCCGCGGCGTCTTGGACCCTTCCGGGTCGAACAGATGACGCCGCCGATGCGATCGATGGGCGAGTTCTTGCCGCTGTCTTGTTGGGACTGCGCGTTGCGCTTCTGCTTGCCTTCGAGGCACGACACGCACGCCATACGCTTGTTGTTGCTGAGTCGAATGCCCGATGCCGGATCGCGCGCCATGCGTTCGATCGTGTCGAACGCAACGTGGCCGAGTCTCTGGTGCCAGTGCAACAGCGAGGCTTCGTGCGGCTCATCGGCGTTGGTTTCCGTTGCATGCGCTTCGAGCGCCGCCATGATCGCGTCTCCGTTGCACCTTCCTTGTCGCGCGTGGCCCTCGTCACGACATACAGCACGTTGCTGTCGATTGTGACATCGAACGCGACCGCACCATCTCTGCACCGAGCGAGCGAGCGCCTTTCGCCGGAGTGCACTAGGGCAAATCCTTTGTTGGCGAGCTTGCCGTACGGACACAATGTTCTTTGCCAGTCGCGGCGCCAAGTACACATCCGTGAGCGTCACTACCGCTTCAGCGCCGCGCGCAAGAACCTCGAGGCGCACGCTGCCGACACGCGTCAGGTGAAGCGACTCGCCGTCTGCCATTGCAATCTCGTGGCTGCAAGCCGTCGACTTGAGCAGCAGCGACTCGTCGTTGACAAGATGCCGGCTCGCGCCGCTATCGAGGATCCATGTCTCCTCGGTCGACGCCCGTGGCATCGGTCGCCGCAAGTACGAGGCCGCTCGTGCCGTCCGTGGCTCTTACTCCGTCGCTCGTCGTAAGCACGAAGCCGCATGAGTCGTCTATGGTTCGCGCCCCATCACTTACATTGGTCGCTGCGGCGTCCTTGCCGCGCGAGCCCTTCTTCCTCCTGTTGCGCTTCTTCGTGGTCGCTCTGCGCTTCTCGGTCAGTGCAAAGTATCATGCTGGCGCCTCCGCCCTCCGCGGAGTGTCTCGTCTTCGTGCACGACTCGCGCGCGACAGTTGGCTGCGATGTGGCCTGGTCGCCCCCATCGGTAGCACGTGATCGCGCCCTTGGGTTTGCCTTCCACGTGCGCGGCGACGACCTCACGACCCACCGCGCTGCTGCCGTGCTCAATGGACTGCGCGAAGTGCGCCAGCTCCTCAGCATGGCGCAGGTAGTCGAGTCGAGTGGTCTCATACTTGGAGCGCATCACGTTCACCAGCTCCGGCGAAGCGTGGTGGACGATGTTATCAAGAACAAGCGAGTCGGAACCACCGCGTGCCTCGCTGACGGCGACCATGTACAGGAAGTGCTCGGCCCAGGTGCGTCGTGCGTCCTTCTTTGCCATGATTAACTTCATCGCCTGGCTTGCAGTGATTGACGTCTTGAACGTGCGAAGGAGCTGCTCCATGATGTACTCCAGTGTGGGTGATTGCGTCCACCAGGTATCGACCTGCTTGTGATAGTACCTCTTAGCCGTGCTGGCGAGAAAGTGCCCAAGCAGGTCGACCTTGACCGTCTTCGGTCCATCCGAAACCACACGACGCTTCCGCGAGGCTCACCGCGCGCAGAAACGTACGCCCCCGGTCAAAGAATCCGCTCCCGAGTCCGCGGTACAGCTCCGTACCATCGAACTTGCGTATGTTCAACTTCCGCTGGCTAGCGGACGGCATCCCGTAGCCGTTGAGGCCCGGTCGCACATAGGCTTGTGGCGGAGCGAATTGTTGCGGCGGAGGTAGCGCTGCATGCTCCTGCGGAGGTGGCGCAGACGCTGGTGCGCGCTGCTGCAGCTGCGGTGCTGCTCGCGCGCGAGGTGGCCTGAGCGATGCGAATCGCGACGCGCCAAGATCAGTCGCGCGCTGGTATCCACGTGACACCGGTGCCTTCTCCTCCGCTTCTCCGATCGCGTCTATCGTCATCGGTCGGTCACGCATGTTGGCGCCGAGTTTCGAGGCGAACAGTCCGCTCTCCACGGCCCCGAGCATGCGCTCCTCCTCGTCTCGCACTCTCTGCGACGACTCGAGGCTCGCCAGTCGATCGGTGAGTGCGGCGAGCGCGGCGAGGATCTTATCGTCTCGCTTCCCGCTCTCGCAAGCGGGTCCATCGTTGACGACTGCGGGTGCGGTAGGCGCACGCGCTGGCGAGCCGCGCCCAGGCGTGGCTCGCGGGACACCCCTGGTGTCTTCGTAGTCGGTTCGGTGGTTGCGGCCATTGGGCTCATAACCTGTAGGCAAGATGCGTGTTGCGAGAAGGAAGCGTTAGGTGAACAATAAGATTCTGTTGTATTTCCTTACTAGTTCTCTATTCTCTGCCATGATCTAAGAGCAGCCCTCTGCTCCATTCATCCATCTCACACGCATTCTGGCTCTACTCCGGGTCACTATCCTGCTTGTCACTCTGCGTCCACCATTTACGCACAGCGAGTTTGTGACATCAGGTTTCCAATAAACCCCAAGTCACCGGCCGAACACTCCGATCACCGTTACGTACCCTTGCACCCATTTCCAACATTTCAACAGAAGCTCTACATCAGATGATGACAGGTGCATCAACATCGTACGTCCGCTCACAGCCACCTGCAGACAGCATTCATGACGTGTGGAGCTGCGTACACGTTCGACCGTATCCTGCGCGAGTGCAGAACAGATATCGGCAGGGCCACACGTCCACTGTGATGGTCCCTGGCTCTTCCATCACCAATGTGGAATGCCTGGTCTGCATATCGTCAATGTATAGCAGATCACGCATCTAGTTCTTCGTCTTCTTGCTACACGTACAATTTGGTTGCACGCACGCAATGCGCTACGCCAAACGAGTTCTCGCCAATCGTTGGACCTTTCCAGCAAAAGTCTCCACCATCTAACCATACCCACTACAGCGGCATTGTCACGTTGCGGGCATCGTAGCCGTTCTGGCAGACCGAAGCGTGCCGGCAGTCTTCAATCCCACAGCCTTGTTCTTCACGTCCACGTAAGCGTACCGGAAGTATTCCATCCCACAATCTTGTCCTTGACCGTGATCTTGCCAGCAGTGAAGTGCCTAGCCTGAGTGAAGGATGGAGCTGCAGGAAGACAACGGCTCCGTCTGCGACTCAGGGTAGATGCCACTGTTGACGCGGGTTTTAGCTTGTGCAGCGTCTGCTTTCTATCAGGTGGTGATCCATCAAATGACGGTTGTCCTTCGACACAATCGGCTGGGCTTGTAGGTGTTTTCGCGCTCGTGCTACACGTTTACCGGGTACCGCTATTCCACCAGACTGAGTGTCAAATAGATGGGGTCGTAGACCTACTGGAAGACCGTAGTCATGACCTCGTCCTACTTCTTTGCTCTTCGACCACGATGCCATGGAGTGTGATGACGACGCGTGCTCCGTCCTTGCACATCTCTTCTCAACTCGCATCACGGTTTTCCATGTGAGCGTGGGTATCACGTTGTCAGTGCTGACAGTCAATGTATCCGGGCCATGATACAGTTTTGGCGAGTTCGATATTTCAGCCATGACAACACAATCAGCGAGTGAGGTGGTTTGTAGGATGTGCTTCGTTTGTTTGTAACAGTGCAGTATGCTCGATCAACTTCGATTGGTGTCGTCAAGTCTCCGTCGTTTGTCTCTGCAAAAGGGAAGGGGGCCGGCTACGAACGAAATGTGTTCCAAGCGTTCACAAATGTCGCTGATTGGTTTCCGAACAAGATGGTGTATGTGACAGTGTCCGAGACACCCGCGTGCATGCCCTGAAATAGTACAGTGAGCAGGCTCGAAAGGATGAGTGGCCGCGCCGGTCCGGTGACCACGCTGGTCACGTGACGCAGGTCATTAGCGGACGCGATAATCAGGTCGATTAGTGGCAACAAGAAGGGATGAAATGACGAAAAGCGGTGCCACCACAAATCATCACATAGGATCATCAAGCCAACCTTGACGTGCCAACTCGATCCATTCGCACCATGCGCCACAACCGTGCTGCAGCTTCTACTACAAAGAAGAGCACTAGAAGCTGGCACGATTCGCTGCTTTTCAAACGGGAGTCAAAGGGAGGGGGTACAGAAAAGTAGAAAAGGTTCTGAAAACGAGATACATTAACCGAATGGTGATCCTTTCTCTAGCCTGCGTGTTCCACCTCTGACTCAAATTTTTCTCAGAGTGATACTTCGTACCGTGAGGTCACACTACGCGTATAGTTCAAATCCACGTCGTTCGTCGCAATCTTGGTCGCACAGATCTTGGTCCAATCGATCTCGGTGGGGAGCCTCGTTGTCGTTTGAAGTAGAAGCTGGAAAACCCATGAGTCTACTACCGTGGAGATCCGACAATCTCAGGAACGATTATTGTGTCTACGAAGTGTTCCGACTATCGGAAGTGCATCAAGAACTTCATTAGGACGGTTCTCCGAATGTGCCAGTAGGTCTCCGACTAACGGAAGACTGTCAAGAAGACTTTCGTTAGGACGGGTATCCGAATGTGCCAGTAGGTCTCCGACTAACGGAAGACTATCAAGAAGACTTTCGTTAGGACGGGTATCCGAATGTGCCAGTAGGTCTCCAACTAACGGAACGCTGGTAAGAAGACTTTCGTTAGGACGTCCTTCCGAATGTGCCAGTAGGTCTCCGACTAACGGAAGACTATCAAGAAGACTTTCGTTAGGACGTCCCTCTGATTGTGCTAGGAGCGCATCGAGGATTGGAAGGTCCTCGATAAGTTCGAGAACTTTCGTTGGGATGCCCCTCTGAATGGGTCGAAACTTGTCCGTACGTTGTTGCAGTTGCGACAGCGGCGAGGTACGACGGAAATGAGGAGTTTCATCTTTGTCGCGAAAGTGTGGAGGTGTGTAGGCTGGGAAGGGTTTGGCAAGTTGCAGAATGATAAACAAGTACACATGCTCTTGGATCGGGCGTCCAGTTGAATTGGTCGAATCAGAAGCAGTTTCGTTTGTTACAGAGGATAAACTTCTACCACACTTTGGACGTCATCCTTGCTAAAGAAAACACATGGCTGTTGACGCTGATCAAGTCATTGAAACGACCGGCAGGAGAAGGCGACTCTCGCTGATCGATTCGTTGCAAATCGAAATGTCGCAGCTCTTGAACCTTGAGATCGACCGTGATGGATCAAAGAAGAACACTGACTCGGTCCTCTCCATTCCGGAAAGAGTCGTCTGCTCGACTCTTGCATCAGTCCAGCATCTTCTGAGAGATTATACAGCAGATCGATCCAAAGTGTAAGAGTTCAGACGTCCGATCGGATCCATAGCTTACTGAAGTGGCCCGCAAAAGAGCGTTCAAACGCGACGCAGCGCGTTGACGATACACGACGCTATGAACACATACGATCGGTCGTTGGAAATGTCTTGCTTCTTGAACCTGCACAGATTCCTCATCATCTTCCACCGTGGCAAGGTCGACCACCAAAAAGGGACGTGCATCAGTAGGGTGATCATAATCGGCCAACATGATTGTAAGCCGCTCATCTTTTCGTTTCGTGGTGGTGTTCATCTGGACAGTCATCATACGAGCGAAACCGCTGTATACTGATGACGGTGTCACAGCACGTAGCTTGTACGGATGAGAAGCGAGGGAGGAGGTTGGAACTGGGTGAACTGTAAGAGTATTGAGTCAATGATCTCCTGGACGATTGCAGATACCACAGATGCTCGGGATCTAGCAGGTCAGCACTTGTACGGAGATACATCTGCGATAGCTAGAAGAAAGATAGACCGATACAATGGCAGACTACCAGACGAGAGAAAACGAGTCTGGTGGGATCAACGGACGGACGATGCTACGAACGAAATACGTGCAAGCCGGCACTACTCGCGGAGAACCGCCACTTCACTACCGCTACAGACTACGCATATTGACCATGGTACGCGCATAAAGCACGCACAGTGCTTGAAATGTTCACAGCAAAAGTTGACAAAGCTGTGCCTGCCGTTTCTATCGTGGATCGTCCCTGTCGATGTGATGTATTGCTACTTAACGTAGAGATGATAGTCAAGGAACCAGAGAAATACGGAGAAATGCTCAAACGATGAGCCAGTGCACGCAGAGGTATCGCAAGACTGCTGCAGTAAGTTTGGCTTCGGCGTGAACGGGCTAGCAGTGCGTCTTCTGTTCTAACATGATTTTCTGCCGATCCGGCGTGGGGGTGGTCACAGGTCTGTTTCTTAGAATATCACGTTCAACATCACGCAGTCGTCTTTCGTGTTCATCCTTCAATTTACCTCCCCACCCACCATACTGTATGTACCGCTCGCCTTTTTCTGAAGGTGCCTCCGAAGACAATGACAAAACCTGAACAAGCGCCAATACAAGTCGCTAGTATTCGTGACGCGGAGCAGCTTGTCGGAACCGAATCCACACCTTCGATTGATGTCATGAGAATATGGTGGCTCTGGCATGACTCGCCAGATTTGTCACCAATCACCGACGCGCCATCTTTGCTTCCACATCACCAGCAGTGTTCAAACGGCGAAACGAAGCTCTACATCAGATGATGACAGGTGCATCAAACAATCGTCCGTCCGCTCACAGCCACCTGCAGACATCATTCATGACGTGTGGAGCTGCGTACACGTTCGACCGTATCCTGCGCGAGTGCAGAACAGATATCGGCAGGGCCACACGTCCACTGTGATGGTCCCTGGCTCTTCCATCACCAATGTGGAATGCCTGGTCTGCATATCGTCAATAATACAGCAGATCACTCATCCAGTTCTTCGTCTTCTTGCTAACGTACAATTTGGTTGCACGCACGCAATGCGCTACGCCAAACGAGTTCTCGCCAATCGTTGGACCTTTCCAGCAAAAGTCTCCACCCTCCTAACCATACCCACTACAGCGGCATTGTCACGTTGCGGGCATCGTAGCCGTTCTGGCAGACCGAAGCGTGCCGGCAGTCTTCAATCCCACAGCCTTGTTCTTCACGTCCACGTAAGCGTACCGGAAGTATTCCATCCCACAATCTTGTCCTTGACCGTGATCTTGCCAGCAGTGAAGTGCCTAACCTGAGTGAAGGATGGAGCTGCAGGAAGACAACGGCTCCGTCTGCGACTCAGGGTAGATGCCACTGTTGACGCGGGTTTTAGCTTGTGCAGCGTCTGCTTTCTATCAGGTGGTGATCCATCAAATGACGGTTGTCCTTCGGCACAATCGGCTGGGCTTGTAGGATGTTTTCGCGTTCGTGCTACACGTTGACCGGGTACCGCTATTCCACCAGACTGAGTGTCAAATAGATGGGGTCGTAGACCTACTGGAAGACCGTAGTCATGACCTCGTCCTACTTCTTTTGCTCTTCGACCACGATGCCATGGAGTGTGATGACGACGCGTGCTCCGTCCTTGCACATCTCTTCTCAACTCGCATCACGGTTTTCCATGTGAGCGTGGGTATCACGTTGTCAGTGCTGACAGTCAATGTATCCGGGCCATGATACAGTTTTGGCAAGTTCGATATTTCAGCCATGACAACACAATCAGCGAGTACGGTGGTTTGTAGGATGCGCTTCGTTTGTTTGTAACAGTGCAGTATGCTCGATCAACTTCGATTGGTGTCGTCAAGTCTCCGTCGTTTGTCTCTGCAAAAGGGAAGGGGCCGGCTACGAACGAAATGTGTTCCAAGCGTTCACAAATGTCGCTGATTGGTTTCCGAACAAGATGGTGTATGGTGACAGAGTCCGAGACACCCCGCGTGCATGCCCTGAAATAGTACAGTGAGCAGGCTCGAAAGGATGAGTGGCCGCGCGCCGGTCCGGTGACCACGCTGGTCACGTGACGCAGGTCATTAGCGGACGCGATAATCAGGTCGATTAGTGGCAACAGAAGGGATGAAATGACGAAAAGCGGTGCCACCACAATCATCACATAGGATCATCAAGCCAACCTTGACGTGCCAACTCGATCCATTCGCACCATGCGCCACAACCGTGCTGCAGCTTCTACTACAAAGAAGAGCACTAGAAGCTGGCACGATTCGCTGCTTTTCAAACGGGAGTCAAGGAGGGGGGTACAGAAAAGTAGAAAGGTTCTGAAAACGAGATACATAACCCCGAATGGTGATCCTTTTCACTAGCCTGCGCGCTCCACCTCTGACTCAAATTTTTCTCAGAGTGATACTTCGTACCGTGAGTCACACTACGCGTATAGTTCAAATCCACGTCGTTCGTCGCAATCTTGGTCGCACAGATCTTGGTCAATCGATCTCGGTGGGAAGCCTCGTTGTCGTTTGAAGTAGAAGCTGGAAAACCCATGAGTCTACTACCGTGGAGATCCGACAATCTCAGGAACGATTATTGTCTACGAAGTGTTCCGACTATCGGGAAGTGCATCAAGAACTTCGTTAGGACGGTTCTCCGAATGTGCCAGTAGGTCTCCGACTAACGGAAGACTGTCAAGAAGACTTTCGTTAGGACGGGTATCCGATATGTGCCAGTAGGTCTCCGACTAACGGAAGACTATCAAGAAGACTTTCGTTAGGACGGGTAAATGATGGCGCGCCCCAGGCGCTGCGGCAGCTGCTGAAGTTCACGCGCGGGTCTCCTGTACACGCTGCACTGGGAGCCAAAAACAACAATTCCACGCAGATCCGGCGTCTTGCCCGTCAGCACCTCGAGTGAGTGACGCTCTCTTTGCGTTTGCTCGCGTAGGGCTCGGTTGAGGATATGTGAACGGCGCGTATAGTACGCGTCTCCCCAGAACATCAGGGTAGGCAGCGCGCAGGCAAACATCATGCTTGCGCGCAAGGTTCAGCACTGTCCGGTGCATTGCTTTCCGCCTTGCCGTTTGAGGCCTGATTTCGCGCCTCCGACACTTGGCGCGCGACGCCCGTGCGCTCGCAGAACAGGTCCACGTTGGCGTATTCTCTGCCGCCGTCCGTGCGGAGCACGTGGACCTTGAACCCGAAAATCTTCTCGAAGTGGACGAGGAACGCCTCGAACTGCCTCGCCGCAGCGTCCTTCGTGCGCGCGAGGAAGACTCGGCAGTAGTTGCTCTTGTGACCAACGAAGTTCACAAGGTAACGATTGCCGAGTCGGTCCCGCGGCGTCATTGGACCCTTCAGGTCCGAACAGATGACGCCGCCGATGCGATCGATGGGCGAGTTCTTGCCGCTGTCTTGTTGGGACTGCGCGTTGCGCTTCTGCTTGCCTTCGAGGCACGACACGCACGCCATACGCTTGTTGTTGCTGAGTCGAATGCCCGATGCCGGATCGCGCGCCATGCGTTCGATCGTGTCGAACGCAACGTGGCCCGAGTCTCTGGTGCCAGTGCAACAGCGAGGCTTCGTGCGGCTCATCGGCGTTGGTTTCCGTTGCATGCGCTTCGAGCGCCGCCATGATCGCGTCTCCGTTGCACCTTCCTTGTCGCGCGTGGCCCTCGTCACGACATACAGCACGTTGCTGTCGATTGTGACATCGAACGCGACCGCACCATCTCTGCACCGAGCGAGCGAGCGCCTTTCGCCGGAGTGCACTAGGGCAAATCCTTTGTTGGCGAGCTTGCCGTACGACACAATGTTCTTTGCCAGTCGCGGCGCCAAGTACACATCCGTGAGCGTCACTACCGCTTCAGCGCCGCGCGCAAGAACCTCGAGGCGCACGCTGCCGACACGCGTCAGGTGAAGCGACTCGCCGTCTGCCATTGCAATCTCGTGGCTGCAAGCCGTCGACTTGAGCAGCAGCGACTCGTCGTTGACAAGATGCCGGCTCGCGCCGCTATCGAGGATCCAGTCTCCTCGGTCGACGCCCGTGGCATCGGTCGCCGCAAGTACGAGGCCGCTCGTGCCGTCCGTGGCTCTTACTCCGTCGCTCGTCGTAAGCACGAAGCCGCATGAGTCGTCTATGGTTCGCGCCCCATCACTTACATTGGTCGCTGCGGCGTCCTTGCCGCGCGAGCCCTTCTTCCTCCTGTTGCGCTTCTTCGTGGTCGCTCTGCGCTTCTCGGTCAGTGCAAGTATCATGCTGGCGCCTCCGCCCTCCGCGGGTGTCTCGTCTTCGTGCACGACTCGCGCGCGACAGTTGGCTGCGATGTGGCCTGGTCGCCCCCATCGGTAGCACGTGATCGCGCCCCTTGGGTTTGCCTTCCACGTGCGCGGCGACGACCTCACGACCCACCGCGCTGCTGCCGTGCTCAATGGACTGCGCGAAGTGCGCCAGCTCCTCAGCATGGCGCAGGTAGTCGAGTCGAGTGGTCTCATACTTGGAGCGCATCACGTTCACCAGCTCCGGCGAAGCGTGGTGGACGATGTTATCAAGAACAAGCGAGTCGGAACCACCGCGTGCCTCGCTGACGGCGACCATGTACAGGAAGTGCTCGGCCCAGGTGCGTCGTGCGTCCTTCTTTGCCATGATTAACTTCATCGCCTGGCTTGCAGTGATTGACGTCTTGAACGTGCGAAGGAGCTGCTCCATGATGTACTCCAGTGTGGGTGATTGCGTCCACCAGGTATCGACCTGCTTGTGATAGTACCTCTTAGCCGTGCTGGCGAGAAAGTGCCCAAGCAGGTCGACCTTGACGTCTTCGGTCCATCCGAAACCACACGACGCTTCCGCGAGGCTCACCGCGCGCAGAAACGTACGCCCCCGGTCAAAGAATCCGCTCCCGAGTCCGCGGTACAGCTCCGTACCATCGAACTTGCGTATGTTCAACTTCCGCTGGCTAGCGGACGGCATCCCGTAGCCGTTGAGGCCCGGTCGCACATAGGCTTGTGGCGGAGCGAATTGTTGCGGCGGAGGTAGCGCTGCATGCTCCTGCGGAGGTGGCGCAGACGCTGGTGCGCGCTGCTGCAGCTGCGGTGCTGCTCGCGCGCGAGGTGGCCTGAGCGATGCGAATCGCGACGCGCCAAGATCAGTCGCGCGCTGGTATCCACGTGACACCGGTGCCTTCTCCTCCGCTTCTCCGATCGCGTCTATCGTCATCGGTCGGTCACGCATGTTGGCGCCGAGTTTCGAGGCGAACAGTCCGCTCTCCACGGCCCCGAGCATGCGCTCCTCCTCGTCTCGCACTCTCTGCGACGACTCGAGGCTCGCCAGTCGATCGGTGAGTGCGGCGAGCGCGGCGAGGATCTTATCGTCTCGCTTCCCGCTCTCGCAAGCGGGTCCATCGTTGACGACTGCGGGTGCGGTAGGCGCACGCGCTGGCGAGCCGCGCCCAGGCGTGGCTCGCGGGACACCCCCTGGTGTCTTCGTAGTCGGTTCGGTGGTTGCGGCCATTGGGCTCATAACCTGTAGGCAAGATGCGTGTTGCGAGAAGGAAGCGTTAGGTGAACAATAAGATTCTGTTGTATTTCCTTACTAGTTCTCTATTCTCTGCCATGATCGCCAAAGCCCTCTGCTCCATTCATCCATCTCACACGCATTCTGGCTCTACTCGGGTCACTATCCTGCTTGTCACTCTGCGTCCACCATTTACGCACAGCGAGTTTGTGACATCAGGTTTCCAAATAAACCCCAAGTCACCGGCCGAACACTCCGATCACCGTTACGTACCCTTGCACCCATTTCCAACATTTCAACAGAAGCTCTACATCAGATGATGACAGGTGCATCAACATCGTACGTCCGCTCACAGCCACCTGCAGACAGCATTCATGACGTGTGGAGCTGCGTACACGTTCGACCGTATCCTGCGCGAGTGCAGAACAGATATCGGCAGGGCCACACGTCCACTGTGATGGTCCCTGGCTCTTCCATCACCAATGTGGAATGCCTGGTCTGCATATCGTCAATGTATAGCAGATCACGCATCTAGTTCTTCGTCTTCTTGCTAACGTACAATTTGGTTGCACGCACGCAATGCGCTACGCCAAACGAGTTCTCGCCAATCGTTGGACCTTTCCAGCAAAAGTCTCCACCATCTAACCATACCCACTACAGCGGCATTGTCACGTTGCGGGCATCGTAGCCGTTCTGGCAGACCGAAGCGTGCCGGCAGTCTTCAATCCCACAGCCTTGTTCTTCACGTCCACGTAAGCGTACCGGAAGTATTCCATCCCACAATCTTGTCCTTGACCGTGATCTTGCCAGCAGTGAAGTGCCTAGCCTGAGTGAAGGATGGAGCTGCAGGAAGACAACGGCTCCGTCTGCGACTCAGGGTAGATGCCACTGTTGACGCGGGTTTTAGCTTGTGCAGCGTCTGCTTTCTATCAGGTGGTGATCCATCAAATGACGGTTGTCCTTCGACACAATCGGCTGGGCTTGTAGGTGTTTTCGCGCTCGTGCTACACGTTTACCGGGTACCGCTATTCCACCAGACTGAGTGTCAAATAGATGGGGTCGTAGACCTACTGGAAGACCGTAGTCATGACCTCGTCCTACTTCTTTTGCTCTTCGACCACGATGCCATGGAGTGTGATGACGACGCGTGCTCCGTCCTTGCACATCTCTTCTCAACTCGCATCACGGTTTTCCATGTGAGCGTGGGTATCACGTTGTCAGTGCTGACAGTCAATGTATCCGGGCCATGATACAGTTTTGGCGAGTTCGATATTTCAGCCATGACAACACAATCAGCGAGTGAGGTGGTTTGTAGGATGTGCTTCGTTTGTTTGTAACAGTGCAGTATGCTCGATCAACTTCGATTGGTGTCGTCAAGTCTCCGTCGTTTGTCTCTGCAAAAGGGAAGGGGCCGGCTACGAACGAAATGTGTTCCAAGCGTTCACAAATGTCGCTGATTGGTTTCCGAACAAGATGGTGTATGTGACAGTGTCCGAGACACCCGCGTGCATGCCCTGAAATAGTACAGTGAGCAGGCTCGAAAGGATGAGTGGCCGCGCCGGTCCGGTGACCACGCTGGTCACGTGACGCAGGTCATTAGCGGACGCGATAATCAGGTCGATTAGTGGCAACAGAAGGGATGAAATGACGAAAAGCGGTGCCACCACAAATCATCACATAGGATCATCAAGCCAACCTTGACGTGCCAACTCGATCCATTCGCACCATGCGCCACAACCGTGCTGCAGCTTCTACTACAAAGAAGAGCACTAGAAGCTGGCACGATTCGCTGCTTTTCAAACGGGAGTCAAGGAGGGGGTACAGAAAAGTAGAAAAGGTTCTGAAAACGAGATACATTAACGAATGGTGATCCTTTCTCTAGCCTGCGTGTTCCACCTCTGACTCAAATTTTTCTCAGAGTGATACTTCGTACCGTGAGTCACACTACGCGTATAGTTCAAATCCACGTCGTTCGTCGCAATCTTGGTCGCACAGATCTTGGTCCAATCGATCTCGGTGGGGAGCCTCGTTGTCGTTTGAAGTAGAAGCTGGAAAACCCATGAGTCTACTACCGTGGAGATCCGACAATCTCAGGAACGATTATTGTCTACGAAGTGTTCCGACTATCGGAAGTGCATCAAGAACTTCATTAGGACGGTTCTCCGAATGTGCCAGTAGGTCTCCGACTAACGGAAGACTGTCAAGAAGACTTTCGTTAGGACGGGTATCCGAATGTGCCAGTAGGTCTCCGACTAACGGAAGACTATCAAGAAGACTTTCGTTAGGACGGGTATCCGAATGTGCCAGTAGGTCTCCAACTAACGGAACGCTGGTAAGAAGACTTTCGTTAGGACGTCCTTCCGAATGTGCCAGTAGGTCTCCGACTAACGGAAGACTATCAAGAAGACTTTCGTTAGGACGTCCCTCTGATTGTGCTAGGAGCGCATCGAGGATTGGAAGGTCCTCGATAAGTTCGAGAACTTCGTTGGGATGCCCCTCTGAATGGGTCGAAACTTGTCCGTACGTTGTTGCAGTTGCGACAGCGGCGAGTACGACGGAAATGAGGAGTTTCATCTTTGTCGCGAAAGTGTGGAGGTGTGTAGGCTGGGAAGGGTTTGGCAAGTTGCAGAATGATAAACAAGTACACATGCTCTTGGATCGGGCGTCCAGTTGAATTGGTCGAATCAGAAGCAGTTTCGTTTGTTACAGAGGATAAACTTCTACCACACTTTGGACGTCATCCTTGCTAAAGAAAACACATGGCTGTTGACGCTGATCAAGTCATTGAAACGACCGGCAGGAGAAGGCGACTCTCGCTGATCGATTCGTTGCAAATCGAAATGTCGCAGCTCTTGAACCTTGAGATCGACCGTGATGGATCAAAGAAGAACACTGACTCGGTCCTCTCCATTCGGAAAGAGTCGTCTGCTCGACTCTTGCATCGTCTAGCATCTTCTGAGAGATTATACAGCAGATCGATCCAAAGTGTAAGAGTTCAGACGTCCGATCGGATCCATAGCTTACTGAAGTGGCCCGCAAAAGAGCGTTCAAACGCGACGCAGCGCGTTGACGATACACGACGCTATGAACACATACGATCGGTCGTTGGAAATGTCTTGCTTCTTGAACCTGCACAGATTCCTCATCATCTTCCACCGTGGCAAGGTCGACCACCAAAAAGGGACGTGCATCAGTAGGGTGATCATAATCGGCCAACATGATTGTAAGCGCTCATCTTTTCGTTTCGTGGTGGTGTTCATCTGGACAGTCATCATACGAGCGAAACCGCTGTATACTGATAACGGTGTCACAGCACGTAGCTTGTACGGATGAGAAGCGAGGGAGGAGGTTGGAACTGGTGAACTGTAAGAGTATTGAGTCAATGATCTCCTGGACGATTGCAGATACCACAGATGCTCGGGATCTAGCAGGTCAGCACTTGTACGGAGATACATCTGCGATAGCTAGAAGAAAGATAGACCGATACAATGCAGACTACCAGACGAGAGAAAACGAGTCTGGTGGGATCAACGGACGGACGATGCTACGAACGAAATACGTGCAAGCCGGCACTACTCGCGGAGAACCGCCACTTCACTACCGCTACAGACTACGCATATTGACCATGGTACGCGCATAAAGCACGCACAGTGCTTGAAATGTTCACAGCAAAGTTGACAAAGCTGTGCCTGCCGTTTCTATCGTGGATCGTCCCTGTCGATGTGATGTATTGCTACTTAACGTAGAGATGATAGTCAAGGAACCAGAGAAATACGGAGAAATGCTCAAACGATGAGCCAGTGCACGCAGAGGTATCGCAAGACTGCTGCAGTAAGTTTGGCTTCGGCGTGAACGGGCTAGCAGTGCGTCTTCTGTTCTAACATGATTTTCGGCCGATCCGGCGTGGGGTGGTCACAGGTCTGTTTCTTAGAATATCACGTTCAACATCACGCAGTGGTCTTTCGTGTTCATCCTTCAATTTACCTCCCCACCCACCATACTGTATGTACCGCTCGCCTTTTTCTGAAGGTGCCTCCGAAGACAATGACAAAACCTGAACAAGCGCCAATACAAGTCGCTAGTATTCGTGACGCGGAGCAGCTTGTCGGAACCGAATCCACACCTTCGATTGATGTCATGAGAGTGTGGTGGCTCTGGCATGACTCGCCAGATTTGTCACCAATCACCGACGCGCCATCTTTGCTTCCACATCACCAGCAGTGTTCAAACGGCGAAACGAAGCTCTACATCAGATGATGACAGGTGCATCAAACAATCGTCCGTCCGCTCACAGCCACCTGCAGACATCATTCATGACGTGTGGAGCTGCGTACACGTTCGACCGTATCCTGCGCGAGTGCAGAACAGATATCGGCAGGGCCACACGTCCACTGTGATGGTCCCTGGCTCTTCCATCACCAATGTGGAATGCCTGGTCTGCATATCGTCAATGTACAGCAGATCACTCATCCAGTTCTTCGTCTTCTTGCTAACGTACAATTTGGTTGCACGCACGCAATGCGCTACGCCAAACGAGTTCTCGCCAATCGTTGGACCTTTCCAGCAAAAGTCTCCACCTTCTAACCATACCCACTACAGCGGCATTGTCACGTTGCGGGCATCGTAGCCGTTCTGGCAGACCGAAGCGTGCCGGCAGTCTTCAATCCCACAGCCTTGTTCTTCACGTCCACGTAAGCGTACCGGAAGTATTCCATCCCACAATCTTGTCCTTGACCGTGATCTTGCCAGCAGTGAAGTGCCTAACCTGAGTGAAGGATGGAGCTGCAGGAAGACAACGGCTCCGTCTGCGACTCAGGGTAGATGCCACTGTTGACGCGGGTTTTAGCTTGTGCAGCGTCTGCTTTCTATCAGGTGGTGATCCATCAAATGACGGTTGTCCTTCGGCACAATCGGCTGGGCTTGTAGGTGTTTTCGCGTTCGTGCTACACGTTGACCGGGTACCGCTATTCCACCAGACTGAGTGTCAAATAGATGGGGTCGTAGACCTACTGGAAGACCGTAGTCATGACCTCGTCCTACTTCTTTTGCTCTTCGACCACGATGCCATGGAGTGTGATGACGACGCGTGCTCCGTCCTTGCACATCTCTTCTCAACTCGCATCACGGTTTTCCATGTGAGCGTGGGTATCACGTTGTCAGTGCTGACAGTCAATGTATCCGGGCCATGATACAGTTTTGGCAAGTTCGATATTTCAGCCATGACAACACAATCAGCGAGTACGGTGGTTTGTAGGATGCGCTTCGTTTGTTTGTAACAGTGCAGTATGCTCGATCAACTTCGATTGGTGTCGTCAAGTCTCCGTCGTTTGTCTCTGCAAAAGGGAAGGGGCCGGCTACGAACGAAATGTGTTCCAAGCGTTCACAAATGTCGCTGATTGGTTTCCGAACAAGATGGTGTATGTGACAGTGTCCGAGACACCCGCGTGCATGCCCTGAAATAGTACAGTGAGCAGGCTCGAAAGGATGAGTGGCCGCGCCGGTCCGGTGACCACGCTGGTCACGTGACGCAGGTCATTAGCGGACGCGATAATCAGGTCGATTAGTGGCAACAGAAGGGATGAAATGACGAAAAGCGGTGCCACCACAAATCATCACATAGGATCATCAAGCCAACCTTGACGTGCCAACTCGATCCATTCGCACCATGCGCCACAACCGTGCTGCAGCTTCTACTACAAAGAAGAGCACTAGAAGCTGGCACGATTCGCTGCTTTTCAAACGGGAGTCAAGGAGGGGGTACAGAAAAGTAGAAAAGGTTCTGAAAACGAGATACATAACGAATGGTGATCCTTTCACTAGCCTGCGCGCTCCACCTCTGACTCAAATTTTTCTCAGAGTGATACTTCGTACCGTGAGTCACACTACGCGTATAGTTCAAATCCACGTCGTTCGTCGCAATCTTGGTCGCACAGATCTTGGTCCAATCGATCTCGGTGGGAAGCCTCGTTGTCGTTTGAAGTAGAAGCTGGAAAACCCATGAGTCTACTACCGTGGAGATCCGACAATCTCAGGAACGATTATTGTCTACGAAGTGTTCCGACTATCGGAAGTGCATCAAGAACTTCGTTAGGACGGTTCTCCGAATGTGCCAGTAGGTCTCCGACTAACGGAAGACTGTCAAGAAGACTTTCGTTAGGACGGGTATCCGAATGTGCCAGTAGGTCTCCGACTAACGGAAGACTATCAAGAAGACTTTCGTTAGGACGGGTATCCGAATGTGCCAGTAGGTCTCCAACTAACGGAACGCTGTCAAGAAGACTTTCGTTAGGACGGGTATCCGAATGTGCCAGTAGGTCTCCGACTAACGGAAGACTATCAAGAAGACTTTCGTTAGGACGTCCCTCTGATTGTGCTAGGAGCGCATCGAGGATTGGAAGGTCCTCGATAAGTTCGAGAACTTCGTTGGGATGCCCCTCTGAATGGGTCGAAACTTGTCCGTACGTTGTTGCAGTTGCGACAGCGGCGAGTACGACGGAAATGAGGAGTTTCATCTTTGTCGCGAAGTGTGGAGGTGTGGAGGCTGGGAAGGGTTTGGCAAGTTGCAGAATGATAAACAAGTACACATGCTCTTGGATCGGGCGTCCAGTTGAATTGGTCGAATCAGAAGCAGTTTCGTTTGTTACAGAGGATAAACTTCTACCACACTTTGGACGTCATCCTTGCTAAAGAAAACACATGGCTGTTGACGCTGATCGAGTCATGAAACGACCGGCAGGAGAAGACGAATCTCGCTGATCAATTCGTTGCAAATCGAGATGTCGCAGCTCTTGAACCTTGAGATCGACCGTGATGGATCAAAGAAGAACACTGACTCGGTCCTCTCCATTCGGAAAGAGTCGTCTGCTCGACTCTTGCATCGTCTGGCATCTTCTGAGAGATTATACAGCAGATCGATCCAAAGTGTAAGAGTTCAGACGTCCGATCGGATCCATAGCTTACTGAAGTGGCCCGCAAAAGAGCGTTCAAACGCGACGCAGCATGTTGACGATACACGACACTATGAACACATACGAACGGTCGTTGGAAATGTCTTGCTTCTTGAACCTGCACAGATTCCTCATCATCTTCCACCGTGGCAAGGTCGACCACCAAAAAGGGACGTGCATCAGTAGGGTGTTCATAATCGGCCAACATGATTGTAAGCGCTCATCTTTTCGTTTCATGGTGATGTTCATCTGGACAGTCATCATACGAGCGAAACCGCTGCATACTGATGACGGTGTCACAGCACGTAGCTTGTACGGATGAGAAGCGAGGGAGGAGGTTGGAACTGGTGAACTGTAAGAGTATTGAGTCAATGATCTCCTGGACGATTGCAGATACCACAGATGCTCGGGATCTAGCAGGTCAGCACTTGTACGGAGATACACCTGCGACAGCTAGAAGAAAGATAGACCGATATAATGCAGACTACCAGACGAGAGAAAACGAGTCTGGTGGGATCAACGGACGGACGATGCTACGAACGAAATACGTGCAAGCCGGCACTACTCGCGGAGAACCGCCACTTCACTACCGCTACAGACTAGGCATATTGACCATGGTACGCGCATAAAGCACGCACAGTGCTTGAAATGTTCACAGCAAAGTTGACAAAGCTGTGCCTGCCGTTTCTATCGTGGATCGTCCCTGTCGATGTGATGTATTGCTACTTAACGTAGAGATGATAGTCAAGGAACCAGAGAAATACGGAGAAATGCTCAAACGATGAGCCAGTGCACGCAGAGGTATCGCAAGACTGCTGCAGTAAGTTTGGCTTCGGCGTGAACGGGCTAGCAGTGCGTCTTCTGTTCTAACATGATTTTCTGCCGATCCGGGGTCGGGTGGTCACAGGTCTGTTTCTTAGAATATCACGTTCAACATCACGCAGTCGTCTTTCGTGTTCATCCTTCAATTTACCTCCCCACCCACCATACTGTATGTACCGCTCGCCTTTTTCTGAAGGTGCCTCCGAAGACAATGACAAAACCTGAACAAGCGCCAATACAAGTCGCTAGTATTCGTGACGCGGAGCAGCTTGTCGGAACCGAATCCACACCTTCGATTGATGTCATGAGAGTGTGGTGGCTCTGGCATGACTCGCCAGATTTGTCACCAATCACCGACGCGCCATCTTTGCTTCCACATCACCAGCAGTGTTCAAACGGCGAAACGAAGCTATAGGCAAGATGCGTGTTGCGAGAAGGAAGCGTTAGGTGAACAATAAGATTCTGTTGTATTTCCTTACTAGTTCTCTCTTCTCTGCCAAGATCGCCAAAGCCCTCTGCTCCATTCATCCATCTCACACGCATTCTGGCTCTACTCGGGTCACTATCCTGCTTGTCACTCTGCGTCCACCATTTACGCACAGCGAGTTTGTGACATCAGGTTTCCAAATAAACCCCAAGTCACCGGCCGAACACTCCGATCACCGTTACGTACCCTTGCACCCATTTCCAACATTCCAACACTCCTCCTCGGTCGTTACTTGCCCTCAAACCAGTTTTATTTCTTGAGCTTGCAAATGTCCTTGTCCCTGTGCTCCTCCATCCCTGAGCTCCTTGATCGCCCTTAATCGTCCTTGACCTTTTCTTAACCAATGCGCACGAGTGCGCGCAGTGTCGAGAGCTTCGTTGCGTCCAACGCCTTCGTGAGGAGGTCTGCGAGCATCTGCTCCGATCTGACGTAGCTCGCCGTGATGATGCCGCGACGCGAGTAGTCGCAAAGGAACTTAAGGCGCACATCCACATGTTTTGCCTTCAGCGACGATGCCTCTCCCGCGATCTGCGCGATCGCCGCTTGGTTGTCCACCCACAACTGCATCGGAAGCGTGGGCTCCACGCCCACTTCGCACAACATCTCGCGCAGGCCGAGCAGCTCGCGCGCGACTTCACTCGCCGCAACAAATTCCGCCTCTATCGTCGACAGGGAGACGCCTCCCTGCTTCCGCGCACCCCAGCTGACGGCCATCCCGTTCAGCATCACGATGCCGCCCGTCATCGACTTCCGGTCCGTCTTGTCGGCGGCAAAGTCGGCGTCGCTAAACGCTTCTAGTCGCATCGCCGCACCTAAATTGTCTTCTGGGATCATCATGATCTTAAGCGCCGCCGTACCCTTGAGGTATCGCGCGATGCGTTTAGCTAACTTCCAGTCTGCTAGTCGAGGCGCATGGGCTCGTCTCGTGACCTTGTGCACCGCAAACGCTATGTCAGGGCGCGTGCAACGCGCCACCCAGAGCGGCGAGCCGACCAACGACTAAAACTGGCGCACAGTCGGTCCTATTTTCGCGCTTGGCGTCCCAAGAAGCTCCTCGTCGCCCTCCTCCAACTCGTAGCAGCTGTCGTCGATCGGCGTCCACGTCGAGTTGGCGTCAGCGAGTCCGTTGTCGCGTAAGAGGTCTCTTATGGCCTCCTCCTGATCGAGCGTGTACCCATTCTGACCGTTGTGCGTCACGCGCATTCCCAGGAACTTGCTGACACGCCCCAGGTCCTTGATCGACAACGACGCGAGGCTTGCAAAGAACCGCTCGACCGCCGCCGCGCTCGTCCCTGTCGCTAGAAGATCGTCGACATACACGCCGACCACGACAAGGTCGTCGCCGTCGCGCTTCCAGTAAAAACACATGTCGCTCTCACACCGCGTGAAACCGGCAGTAGAGAGCTTCGAGTGCAGCAGCTGGCTCTACAGCCGGCCTGCCTGCTTGAGCCCGTAGAGGCTCTTCCGCAGCTCCAGCACCAGCTCGCTCGTGTTCGAAACGCCTTGCGCTCGTAGCGTCTCCTTCGAGACTGGCATGCCGCGCGGCATCTGTAGATAGATGCGCAGGTGCGGCTCCTTGTCCGCTTTAACGTAGGCGTTGGGGATGTCACCGTGCTTGGCAGGCATTCCCCACGTAGCAGCAAGAGCCAGGATCAATTTGACCGTCTATAGGTCCATCACGGCAGCGAAGGTGAGCGTGTAGTCGATGCCAAGCACCTGTTCGTTGCCACACGCCACCAGTCGCGCTTTCAGCCGCTCGAGGTCGCCCTGTGCATCTGTCTTGGTCTTATAGACCCATTTTGTGTGCAGCGCATGCTGTCCTGCCGTTCGCCTTGTGATAGTCCATACGTCGTTGGCCTCGAGCGCGGCGATCTCCTCTTGCATCGCCTTCTTCCACCCTTCGCGCTTGCCGCTGCGCATCGCCTGTCCGTAGTTAAGCGGATCATGCTCGAAAGCAGCATTTACGACTTCTCCGCTCGCGGCTGTCTCCTCCTGACGAGCAGCCGCTTCTGCGCGTTTCAACGCCCCGCGTGTTCCATGGGCCTTTCGCGTCCATCTCTTTCTGCTTTTACGCGTCTCCATGTTGCCCTCTGCGCGACCATCGTTCGCCACTGCTGCTGCTGGCGCGTCCGTCTCCTCCTGGCCTCCGGCTCGATCGCCGACGTCCATCGCGCGCTGGAGTTGCGCGTTTTGCGCCTCCGTCAGTGTCTCGATATTCTTGATGTGCTGCGTGACGACCGCTTTATTGTCACGCGGCAGCAGCACCTTGTAGCCCTTGGTTTCCTCGCTGACGCCGACAATGATGGCGCGCCCCGAGCGCTGCAGCAGCAAGTTCTTGCGCGGGTCTCTATACACGCTGCACTGGGAGCCAAAAACAACAATTCCACGCAGATCCGGCGTCTTGCCCGTCAGCACCTCGAGTGGTGACGCTCTCTTTGCGTTTGCTCGCGTAGGGCTCCGGTTGAGGATGTGAACGGCGTATAGTACCGCGTCTCCCCAGAACATCAGGGGCAGCGCGCAGGCAAACATCATGCTGCGCGCAAGGTTCAGCACTGTCCGGTGCATTCTTTCCGCCTTGCCGTTTGAGGCCTGATTTCGCGCCTCCGACACTTGGCGCGCGACGCCCGTGCGCTCGCAGAACAGGTCCACGTTGGCGTATTCTCTGCCGCCGTCCGTGCGGAGCACGTGGACCTTGAACCCGAAAAGCTTCTCGAAGTGGACGAGGAACGCCTCGAACTGCCTCGCCGCAGCGTCCTTCGTGCGCGCGAGGAAGACTCGGCAGTAGTTGCTCTTGTGACCAATGAAGTTCACAAGGTAACGATTGCCGAGTCGGTCCCGCGGCGTCATTGGACCCTTCAGGTCCGAACAGATGACGCCGCCGATGCGATCGATGGGCGAGTTCTTGCCGCTGTCTTGTTGGGACTGCGCGTTGCGCTTCTGCTTGCCTTCGAGGCACGACACGCACGCCATACGCTTGTTGTTGCTGAGTCGAATGCCCGATGCCGGATCGCGCGCCATGCGTTCGATCGTGTCGAACGCAACGTGGCCGAGTCTCTGGTGCCAGTGCAACAGCGAGGCTTCGTGCGGCTCATCGGCGTTGGTTTCCGTTGCATGCGCTTCGAGCGCCGCCATGATCGCGTCTCCGTTGCACCTTCCTTGTCGCGCGTGGCCTTCGTCACGACATACAGCACGTTGCTGTCGATTGTGACATCGAACGCGACCGCACCATCTCTGCACCGAGCGAGCGAGCGCCTTTCGCCGGAGTGCACTAGGGCAAATCCTTTGTTGGCGAGCTTGCCGTACGACACAATGTTCTTTGCCAGTCGCGGCGCCAAGTACACATCCGTGAGCGTCACTACCGCTTCAGCGCCGCGCGCAAGAACCTCGAGGCGCACGCTGCCGACACGCGTCAGGTGAAGCGACTCGCCGTCTGCCATTGCAATCTCGTGGCTGCAAGCCGTCGACTTGAGCAGCAGCGACTCGTCGTTGACAAGATGCCGGCTCGCGCCGCTATCGAGGATCCAGTCTCCTCGGTCGACGCCCGTGGCATCGGTCGCCGCAAGTACGAGGCCGCTCGTGCCGTCCGTGGCTCTTACTCCGTCGCTCGTCGTAAGCACGAAGCCGCATGAGTCGTCTATGGTTCGCGCCCCATCACTTACATTGGTCGCTGCGGCGTCCTTGCCGCGCGAGCCCTTCTTCCTCCTGTTGCGCTTCTTCGTGGTCGCTCTGCGCTTCTCGGTCAGTGCAAGGATCATGCTGGCGCCTCCGCCCTCCGCGGGTGTCTCGTCTTCGTGCACGACTCGCGCGCGACAGTTGGCTGCGATGTGGCCTGGTCGCCCCCATCGGTAGCACGTGATCGCGCCCTTGGGTTTGCCTTCCACGTGCGCGGCGACGACCTCACGACCCACCGCGCTGCTGCCGTGCTCAATGGACTGCGCGAAGTGCGCCAGCTCCTCAGCATGGCGCAGGTAGTCGAGTCGAGTGGTCTCATACTTGGAGCGCATCACGTTCACCAGCTCCGGCGAAGCGTGGTGGACGATGTTATCAAGAACAAGCGAGTCGGAACCACCGCGTGCCTCGCTGACGGCGACCATGTACAGGAAGTGCTCGGCCCAGGTGCGTCGTGCGTCCTTCTTTGCCATGATTAACTTCATCGCCTGGCTTGCAGTGATTGACGTCTTGAACGTGCGCAGGAGCTGCTCCATGATGTACTCCAGTGTGGGTGATTGCGTCCACCAGGTATCGACCTGCTTGTGATAGTACCTCTTAGCCGTGCTGGCGAGAAAGTGCCCAAGCAGGTCGACCTTGACGTCTTCGGTCCATCCGAAACCACACGACGCTTCCGCGAGGCTCACCGCGCGCAGAAACGTACGCCCCCGGTCAAAGAATCCGCTCCCGAGTCCGCGGTACAGCTCCGTACCATCGAACTTGCGTATGTTCAACTTCCGCTGGCTAGCGGACGGCATCCCGTAGCCGTTGAGGCCCGGTCGCACATAGGCTTGTGGCGGAGCGAATTGTTGCGGCGGAGGTAGCGCTGCATGCTCCTGCGGAGGTGGCGCAGACGCTGGTGCGCGCTGCTGCAGCTGCGGTGCTGCTCGCGCGCGAGGTGGCCTGAGCGATGCGAATCGCGACGCGCCAAGATCAGTCGCGCGCTGGTATCCACGTGACACCGGTGCCTTCTCCTCCGCTTCTCCGATCGCGTCTATCGTCATCGGTCGGTCACGCATGTTGGCGCCGAGTTTCGAGGCGAACAGTCCGCTCTCCACGGCCCCGAGCATGCGCTCCTCCTCGTCTCGCACTCTCTGCGACGACTCGAGGCTCGCCAGTCGATCGGTGAGTGCGGCGAGCGCGGCGAGGATCTTATCGTCTCGCTTCCCGCTCTCGCGAGCGGGTCCATCGTTGACGACTGCGGGTGCGGTAGGCGCACGCGCTGGCGAGCCGCGCCCAGGCGTGGCTCGCGGGACACCCCCTGGTGTCTTCGTAGTCGGTTCGGTGGTTGCGGCCATTGGGCTCATAACCTGTAGGCAAGATGCGTGTTGCGAGAAGGAAGCGTTAGGTGAACAATAAGATTCTGTTGTATTTCCTTACTAGTTCTCTATTCTCTGCCATGATCGCCAAAGCCCTCTGCTCCATTCATCCATCTCACACGCATTCTGGCTCTACTCGGGTCACTATCCTGCTTGTCACTCTGCGTCCACCATTTACGCACAGCGAGTTTGTGACATCAGGTTTCCAAATAAACCCCAAGTCACCGGCCGAACACTCCGATCACCGTTACGTACCCTTGCACCCATTTCCAACATTTCAACAGAAGCTCTACATCAGATGATGACAGGTGCATCAACATCGTACGTCCGCTCACAGCCACCTGCAGACATCATTCATGACGTGTGGAGCTGCATAGACGTTCGACCGTATCCTGCGCGAGTGCAGAACAGATATCGGCAGGGCCACACGTCCACTGTGATGGTCCCTGGCTCTTCCATCACCAATTTGTGGAATGCCTGGTCTGCATATCGTCAATGTACAGCAGATCACTCATCCAGTTCTTCGTCTTCTTGCTAACGTACAATTTGGTTGCACGCACGCAATGCGCTACGCCAAACGAGTTCTCGCCAATCGTTGGACCTTTCCAGCAAAAGTCTCCACCTTCTAACCATACCCACTACAGCGGCATTTGTCACGTTGCGGGCATCGTAGCCGTTCTGGCAGACCGAAGCGTGCCGGCAGTCTTCAATCCCACAGCCTTGTTCTTCACGTCCACGTAAGCGTACCGGAAGTATTCCATCCCACAATCTTGTCCTTGACCGTGATCTTGCCAGCAGTGAAGTGCCTAACCTGAGTGAAGGATGGAGCTGCAGGAAGACAACGGCTCCGTCTGCGACTCAGGGTAGATGCCACTGTTGACGCGGGTTTTAGCTTGTGCAGCGTCTGCTTTCTATCAGGTGGTGATCCATCAAATGACGGTTGTCCTTCGACACAATCGGCTGGGCTTGTAGGTGTTTTCGCGCTCGTGCTACACGTTTACCGGGTACCGCTATTCCACCAGACTGAGTGTCAAATAGATGGGGTCGTAGACCTACTGGAAGACCGTAGTCATGACCTCGTCCTACTTCTTTTGCTCTTCGACCACGATGCCATGGAGTGTGATGACGACGCGTGCTCCGTCCTTGCACATCTCTTCTCAACTCGCATCACGGTTTTCCATGTGAGCGTGGGTATCACGTTGTCAGTGCTGACAGTCAATGTATCCGGGCCATGATACAGTTTTGGCAAGTTCGATATTTCAGCCATGACAACACAATCAGCGAGTGAGGTGGTTTGTAGGATGTGCTTCGTTTGTTTGTAACAGTGCAGTATGCTCGATCAACTTCGATTGGTGTCGTCAAGTCTCCGTCGTTTGTCTCTGCAAAAGGGAAGGGGCCGGCTACGAACGAAATGTGTTCCAAGCGTTCACAAATGTCGCTGATTGGTTTCCGAACAAGATGGTGTATGTGACAGTGTCCGAGACACCCGCGTGCATGCCCTGAAATAGTACAGTGAGCAGGCTCGAAAGGATGAGTGGCCGCGCCGGTCCGGTGACCACGCTGGTCACGTGACGCAGGTCATTAGCGGACGCGATAATCAGGTCGATTAGTGGCAACAGAAGGGATGAAATGACGAAAAGCGGTGCCACCACAAATCATCACATAGGATCATCAAGCCAACCTTGACGTGCCAACTCGATCCATTCGCACCATGCGCCACAACCGTGCTGCAGCTTCTACTACAAAGAAGAGCACTAGAAGCTGGCACGATTCGCTGCTTTTCAAACGGGAGTCAAGGAGGGGGTACAGAAAAGTAGAAAAGGTTCTGAAAACGAGATACATTAACGAATGGTGATCCTTTCTCTAGCCTGCGTGTTCCACCTCTGACTCAAATTTTTCTCAGAGTGATACTTCGTACCGTGAGTCACACTACGCGTATAGTTCAAATCCACGTCGTTCGTCGCAATCTTGGTCGCACAGATCTTGGTCCAATCGATCTCGGTGGGGAGCCTCGTTGTCGTTTGAAGTAGAAGCTGGAAAACCCATGAGTCTACTACCGTGGAGATCCGACAATCTCAGGAACGATTATTGTCTACGAAGTGTTCCGACTATCGGAAGTGCATCAAGAACTTCGTTAGGACGGTTCTCCGAATGTGCCAGTAGGTCTCCGACTAACGGAAGACTGTCAAGAAGACTTTCGTTAGGACGGGTATCCGAATGTGCCAGTAGGTCTCCGACTAACGGAAGACTATCAAGAAGACTTTCGTTAGGACGTCCCTCTGATTGTGCTAGGAGCGCATCGAGGATTGGAAGGTCCTCGATAAGTTCGAGAACTTCGTTGGGATGCCCCTCTGAATGGGTCGAAACTTGTCCGTACGTTGTTGCAGTTGCGACAGCGGCGAGTACGACGGAAATGAGGAGTTTCATCTTTGTCGCGAAGTGTGGAGGTGTGGAGGCTGGGAAGGGTTTGGCAAGTTGCAGAATGATAAACAAGTACACATGCTCTTGGATCGGGCGTCCAGTTGAATTGGTCGAATCAGAAGCAGTTTCGTTTGTTACAGAGGATAAACTTCTACCACACTTTGGACGTCATCCTTGCTAAAGAAAACACATGGCTGTTGACGCTGATCGAGTCATGAAACGACCGGCAGGAGAAGACGAATCTCGCTGATCAATTCGTTGCAAATCGAGATGTCGCAGCTCTTGAACCTTGAGATCGACCGTGATGGATCAAAGAAGAACACTGACACGGTCCTCTCCATTCGGAAAGAGTCGTCTGCTCGACTCTTGCATCGTCTGGCATCTTCTGAGAGATTATACAGCAGATCGATCCAAAGTGTAAGAGTTCAGACGTCCGATCGGATCCATAGCTTACTGAAGTGGCCCGCAAAAGAGCGTTCAAACGCGACGCAGCGCGTTGACGATACACGACGCTATGAACACATACGAACGGTCGTTGGAAATGTCTTGCTTCTTGAACCTGCACAGATTCCTCATCATCTTCCACCGTGGCAAGGTCGACCACCAAAAAGGGACGTGCATCAGTAGGGTGTTCATAATCGGCCAACATGATTGTAAGCGCTCATCTTTTCGTTTCGTGGTGGTGTTCATCTGGACAGTCATCATACGAGCGAAACCGCTGTATACTGATAACGGTGTCACAGCACGTAGCTTGTACGGATGAGAAGCGAGGGAGGAGGTTGGAACTGGTGAACTGTAAGAGTATTGAGTCAATGATCTCCTGGACGATTGCAGATACCACAGATGCTCGGGATCTAGCAGGTCAGCACTTGTACGGAGATACACCTGCGACAGCTAGAAGAAAGATAGACCGATATAATGCAGACTACCAGACGAGAGAAAACGAGTCTGGTGGGATCAACGGACGGACGATGCTACGAACGAAATACGTGCAAGCCGGCACTACTCGCGGAGAACCGCCACTTCACTACCGCTACAGACTAGGCATATTGACCATGGTACGCGCATAAAGCACGCACAGTGCTTGAAATGTTCACAGCAAAGTTGACAAAGCTGTGCCTGCCGTTTCTATCGTGGATCGTCCCTGTCGATGTGATGTATTGCTACTTAACGTAGAGATGATAGTCAAGGAACCAGAGAAATACGGAGAAATGCTCAAACGATGAGCCAGTGCACGCAGAGGTATCGCAAGACTGCTGCAGTAAGTTTGGCTTCGGCGTGAACGGGCTAGCAGTGCGTCTTCTGTTCTAACATGATTTTCTGCCGATCCGGCGTGGGGTGGTCACAGGTCTGTTTCTTAGAATATCACGTTCAACATCACGCAGTCGTCTTTCGTGTTCATCCTTCAATTTACCTCCCCACCCACCATACTGTATGTACCGCTCGCCTTTTTCTGAAGGTGCCTCCGAAGACAATGACAAAACCTGAACAAGCGCCAATACAAGTCGCTAGTATTCGTGACGCGGAGCAGCTTGTCGGAACCGAATCCACACCTTCGATTGATGTCATGAGAGTGTGGTGGCTCTGACATGACTCGCCAGATTTGTCACCAATCACCGACGCGCCATCTTTGCTTCCACATCACCAGCAGTGTTCAAACGGCGAAACGAAGCTATAGGCAAGATGCGTGTTGCGAGAAGGAAGCGTTAGGTGAACAATAAGATTCTGTTGTATTTCCTTACTAGTTCTCTCTTCTCTGCCAAGATCGCCAAAGCCCTCTGCTCCATTCATCCATCTCACACGCATTCTGGCTCTACTCGGGTCACTATCCTGCTTGTCACTCTGCGTCCACCATTTACGCACAGCGAGTTTGTGACATCAGGTTTCCAAATAAACCCCAAGTCACCGGCCGAACACTCCGATCACCGTTACGTACCCTTGCACCCATTTCCAACATTCCAACACTCCTCCTCGGTCGTTACTTGCCCTCAAACCAGTTTTATTTCTTGAGCTTGCAAATGTCCTTGTCCCTGTGCTCCTCCATCCCTGAGCTCCTTGATCGCCCTTAATCGTCCTTGACCTTTTCTTAACCAATGCGCACGAGTGCGCGCAGTGTCGAGAGCTTCGTCGCGTCCAACGCCTTCGTGAGGAGGTCTGCGAGCATCTGCTCCGATCTGACGTAGCTCGCCGTGATGATGCCGCGACGCGAGTAGTCGCAAAGGAACTTAAGACGCACATCCACATGTTTTGCCTTCAGCGACGATGCCTCTCCCGCGATCTGCGCGATCGCCGCTTGGTTGTCCACCCACAACTGCATCGGAAGCGTGGGCTCCACGCCCACTTCGCACAACATCTCGCGCAGGCCGAGCAGCTCGCGCGCGACTTCACTCGCCGCAACAAATTCCGCCTCTATCGTCGACAGGGAGACGCCTCCCTGCTTCCGCGCACCCCAGCTGACGGCCATCCCGTTCAGCATCACGATGCCGCCCGTCATCGACTTCCGGTCCGTCTTGTCGGCGGCAAAGTCGGCGTCGCTAAACGCTTCTAGTCGCATCGCC